CACTCTTTCTTCTATGAGTACATTGTCCATCTCATCCATCTGTCTATCCATCTATCCCATCTATTCAACTAGTAGTCATTCATTCATTAATTCATAAACATTTGAGTAGCTGCTTTTTTAAAAGAGTCTATGCTAGGTTGAGAAATGAGGAAGAAAGTGAGATACAAAGATAATACCTGATTTCTGTCAGTTCGTTTTTAGTATATTGAGGTCTATATCAAGTTTTCTTTTCTTTTCTCTTTCTTTCTTTCTCTTTCTTTCTTTCTCTCTCTCTCTTTCTCTCTCTCCTCCCCCTCCCTCCCTCCCTCTCTCTCTCCCCCCACCTTTCTTTATTTTTTAAATTTTGAGATGGAGTCTTACCCTGTTGCCCAGGCTGAAGTGCGGTGGCGCAATATCTCAGCCCACTGTAACCTCCGCCTCCCAGGTTCAAACAATTCTCCTGTCTCAGCCTCCCTAGTGGGATTACATGTGCCCACCACCATGCCCAGCTAATTTTTTTGGATTTTTAGTAGAGACGGGGTTTCACCATGTTGACTAGGCTGGTCTCGAACTCCTGACCTCGTGATACACCCACCTCAGCCTCCCGAAGTGCTGGGTTTACAGGCATGAGCCACCATGCCCAGCCTCAAATTTTCTTAAGTCTATGCTGTCTACTGATAAGTTTGTCTTATGTTGATGTTTTCTTCTCTGTGTAGTGAATTATCTGTTTTTAGTATGCTATAGCTTCAAGCCCTGTACCAAGTTCTCAGTAAATGTGAGTAATTATTATAATTACTGTTTAGTTTACTTCCTTCTATGTATGGCCATAAAATTTAGGAACCATTACTACATGTGTCTTATCGTTGCTTTCATTTTTAACTTTATTCAAGTAACCAGTGTTACAGTTGCTTATTACTCTTTCCAGAGATCTGTGCATATACAAGGAAGCATTTGTCTTGTGTCTGGCATTAATTATATATTTTAGTGATTATTCCATAGCAGCATAGGTAAAGCTATTTCATTCCTTTATTCTTTTAATAACCTTTTTTTTTTTTTTTTTTTTTTTTTTTTTTTTTGAGATGGAGCCTCACTCTATTGCCCAGTCTGGAGCGCAGTAGTGCAATCTTGGCTCACTTCGACCTCTGCCTCCTGGGTTCAAGCAATTCTACTGCCTCAGCCTCCAGAGTAGCTGGGATTACAGGTGCCCACCACCACACCTAGCTAATTTTTGTATTTTTAGTACAGACGGTGTTTCATCATGTTGGCCAGGCTGTTCTCGAACTCCTGACCTCAAGTGATCCACCTGCCTCAGCCTCCCAAAGTGCTGGGATTCCAGATGTGAGCCATCACACCTGGCCCTTTTTATAACTTTATTCCTTTTTTATGGCATAGTATTCCATTGTTCAAATATACCAGTTTTTTAAACAAGTCTCATATTGGTGGACATTTGGATTGTTTCCACTTCTTTTGCTATTAAAAGATTGCTACAATAAAAAATCTCCCGTGTTTATCTTTCATGCAAGTATAAGTATATATATGTGTGTATATATATGGTGTGTATATATGGTATATATATGGTGTGTGTATATATGGTATATACATATGGTGTGCATATATGGTATGTATATGTATATATACACACACCATATTTATACACACACCATATATATACACACACCATATATATACATATACATATACACACACACACACACCATTTGTTTTATAGTTGATATTGCCAAATCACTCCCATAGAGGTTGTACCAGTTCACATTCCCATCAGCAATGTATGAGAGTGCCTGTTTCTCCACACCTTGACTAACAAAGTGTGTTATCAGACTTTATGGTCTTAGCCAGTCTGATAAGTAAAAATGATATTTCACTCTAATTTAAATTTGCACTTGTCACATTGTTGAGTAACATTGGGCATCTTTTTGAATACATTTTAGAGCTATTTGTATTTCCTTTTCTGTGAGCCCTCTGTTTTTTGTGTCTTTTTTTTCATTTCTCTCCTGAGACATGTTGAGTTTTTTCTTTTTTTTTTAATTTGTTGAAAGCCTTTATATATCAGAGAAAGTAATGTTTTGGAATATGAGATACTTACATTTTTCTTTCAGTTTGATTTCTCTCTTGATTTTGTGTGCTTAAGCTTTTCACTGTATAAATAAAGTGGTCATATTTAATCTTTACATCTGTGACTTCTATGTTTTGTGTCATTGTTGGAAAAGCCTGCCTCATTCCAGTATTATAAAATAATTATCTCAGGTTTACCAATTATTTAATTTTTAATTTTGAAATAATTATAGATTCACAAAAAGTTGCAACATTACTACAGAGAGATCTGTGTACTTTTCATTCAGTTTCCCCCAAACACCAGGTATTTTTATAATTTCATTTTTACATTTGAATGTTTTATTTATCTGAAATTTGTTTTAATATGAGATATGGATTTCAATTTATTCTTTTCCAATTGGCTATCCATTGATCCTCACATAATTTGTTGAATAATCTGTATTTTCCCCAATAATTTAAAATGCATGTGTATCTATCATCAACTAATTCCTGCATCTACTGGTTAATTTCTTAAATATTTAAAGTATCAACTGGAAGAGAAGTTGCCATGGCATTATCATTGTACATTTTTTCAAGGTCCACATGTTGAAATAACCAGTGCTGACTTTGTTTCAAAAATCCGTTTATAGTGTAATTTGGCCTATTTGGCTAGAACTGTGTGGTCTTGTGGGTTGTGGTGGGGTATAGGTAAATAACATTTATTCTTTGCCCTCCAGAAGTTCACCTTGTCTTATTGATCCCAATCTATTCAGGTGAAGTCTTTAGACTATGTAGTGCTTAAAGTTAACCAATTAATCCTCCCTATACTCTTTTTTTTTTTTTTTTTTTTTTTTGAGATGGAGTCTTGCTCTGTTGCTCAGGCTGGAGTGCAGTGACGTGATCTTGGCTCACTGCAACCGCCATCTCCTCCGAATCCTGGTAGCAATTCTCCTACCTCAACCTCCTGAGTAGCCGGGACTACAGGGGCCCTCCACCATGCCTGGCTAATTTTTGTATTTTTAGTAGAGACGGGGATTCATCATGTTGACCAGGTTGGTCTCGAACTCTTGACCTCAAGTGATCCACCTGCCTTGGCCTCCCAAAGTGCTGGGATTACAGGGGTGAGCCACCGCGCCCGGCCCTTCCCAAAACTCTTTTAAATGACATATATTATCTCCATTTTGTAGATAATAGAGACTCAAAGATTAAAGTCGCTCTGATATCCAGTCACAGAGCAAGTTGGCAGAGCTCAAACCCAGGTTCTGGTCTTTTGATTACTAGTGTTATTCCATACCATTCCAGGACATGCCTCAGATCTGCCCAAGATGTCTTTTCACTCCATTGACCTCAGATAAAAACTACCATAACTTGTGAGCTACACATAACTCTACTATTCCATCTTTGCTTTAGCAAACCTAAAGACTTTCACCATTTTTATTTTATTTTTAAAATAAATGTTAAACAACATGGTGAAACCCCATCTCTACTAAAAAGAAATACAAAAATTAGCCAGGCATGGTGGTGCACACCTGTAATCCCAGCTATTTGGGAAGCTGAGGCAGGAGAATCGCTTGAGCCCGGGAGGCAGAGGTTGCAGTGAGCTGAGATAGTGCCATTGCATTCCAGCCTGGATAACAGAACGAGACTCTGTCTTGAAAAAAATAAATAAATTTTATTGTGTATATTTGCGTAATGTAATGTGAACATCACATTACAATGTGATGTTCATTTTTAGTTCCTACTTTTTAATGAAAGGGTTAAGCAAAGGTAGATAACTTCTGCAAGGTTTTTGTGATTTCACTCTGAGTGATGCTAAAGGAAAATGAAATACTCATCTGCTTATTTCATTACCTGAATGTAAGTAGTAGATTTAGTGTATATTTAGGTTATTTAGATTTAGGTAATTCTAAAATTCTTTCCCAGCTGTATGATTCTTGCTAGTATTTTCCATAGTTTTATGTTCCCATATAGGAGGAAATGAACAAAAACATTTAAAGAATGATAAGTATTTTCATGTGGGTTATTTAGAGGGAAAACATGCTACAAATTCCTTAATCCAATTAAAATCACGCTTGTTATGAAAAGTCATGTGGGCTGATTATTGTATAATAGTAGTTTTGATTTCAGTTCATTATATATCAGCTTAGTAGCATATGTTTAAAGGCTACCACTTAAAATTCTGTATATACTTAGAATTTAAGACTATCAGCTCATATGCTTTGTTAGGTCCTCTTATAGTTTCCTGGCAATTAGTTGCAATGTAGTTCATGTGATGTTTTTCATGGGATAGGGATTTTAGGAGCAGTAAATGGGGATGGGGTGGAGGTGAGTCTCCAGCCCTGTATTTTCTGCCTACCATTCACAATTAAGCCCAGCATAGTGCTTAGTGTGCTGTTAATAAATGTTGGTTGATTGACAAAATTCATTTCACCATCTTGTTCTTACTGCCCCTTCACACTGGGAAGCTGTGTGCTATCATGACGAGCATAGACTGGAACCCTGAACTTTGAACACTTCCTCTACAGCTTAATAACTATGTGATCTGGAGCAAGTTCCTTAACTTCTCCGAGCTTCAGTTTCCTTATTTCTCTGATAGAGCTGCTAGGAAGATTGAATGTGATAATGTCAGTGGAATACCTAGCACAGTACATGACCCAGAGCCTTCAGTTAGTGGGCGTTGTTGTTATTCTCTTGGATAACTTGGGTAGCAACTCACTGTACTCCTTTGCCTCAAGAAGTAGAGGCTGTGTGTGGTATGCTGGGTCAGCTCCCTTTGTTTCAAGAAAACTCTGCAATCTTCTCACAGAATCTGTTAACACCTCTTTGACTTTTGAGCAATACTCCAGGATGACTACTGAGGCTGGATGAGAAGGCTGATTGTCACCTGTGGTTCTGCTTCTTCCTTATGCATTTTTGACCCATTTCACAGATTTCATAATAACTCATTATGAAAATTTTATTCTTTTCAGAACCACCAATTTTTAAAACTTCAATCAAGACAGCTTTCTTATTGCAAAAGATTTCGATAATGAGGATTCCAGGTTGGTACAGGCTGATTTGGGCAACTGAGAAGTCTTTCCGACCTTTGTCAGAGAAGTAACTTAGCTGAGTTCGTTCTTGTTGCCACCTTGCTTTTGAGCCTCTTGGTTAATGTATGAAAGCAGAGGAACTGCTTTCATCTGAGGCAGACAGTGGCAAAGTTCCCATGGCAGGAAATGTTTGTTCTTATAAATCTCATACGTGGTGGTCACAAGGGAGACCTTCGTATTTTGTTTTGCTTGTCTGGGCTTTACCATAATTTGATGATTGTTTCAGTGTTTTTGCCTGAGAACTAACTGTCTAAGAGAAAAGACTGTGATGCACTTGCCCTTAGGGACCTTCTTAGTCAGCCCCAATCTACCTGTCCAGTTTTAGCTCCCGCTTCTCCTCTTGGCAAATCTGTTTTGTACTACAACCAGGCTAGTGGTCTTTTAAAAAGTGTTCTCTGAAGTAACAATCCCTGTTTCTGTTGACAGAAAAAAAATATGATAGAAACAAAGACAAAGAGTTGATGACTCCTGAGATTGGGAGGGAGGAATAGGAGCAGGTGAGAAATAACTTACTGAAGGGAAATAGAGATTTTTGTATCGGAGGGCAGTAGGGAGTGTTGAATGAGAAGAGTGGAGTCAGATAGTGGAGCTGAGAACTTGGGACTTGATGTAATTTAAAATAGGGAAAGGGGAAAAGGTGATGAAAGTGGTATTTTAGGACTATTTTTTTCTCTTAACAAGATTAACCCTAAGCATAGATTTAAGAGATATACGAGTAGAGGCAAGAGTTATCCAGGCCCAGTTATAGTAATACACGTGTCAACTGAAGTTCTGGTTGTTAGCAGTAAGAATTGTGGGGAACATTTTCACTTGAGAAAAGTCAAGTTGTAACAACTCACAGGTTGGAGGTGAAAGAACACAGTCAAAGATGATTCCGATGGTTTGGAGTAAAAGAAAAGTCAAGCCATTAACACCTGTGAAGGCGATGGATAAAGAAACCTGTTGGTTGAAGACAGAAGCTGGGCAAGATGAGTTCCTTCTGGGATTAGTTAGGCTTCCTGTGATGGTGGAATATCCAAATTATAATGTTTATCAGCAGTTGGAAAAAATGGACTCTGGCATGGATGAAAGGTTGGGGTTCAGAGTGTAGACTTAGGAGTCATTGCCATTTTTTTAGGAGCAAGTACATAGAAAGAAAAGAGAGCACCAAGGATTGAGGGGAGAAATCCTCCAGTGCAGGGGTATGAAGAAAAGAACCAATGAAACAAAAGAAGCAAGAGCTAAATGATGGAAAGGCTTGAAGCCAGTGCGATGAATGCTATACTGTGGAAGCCAAGGTCAGGGCTGTGAGAAGGAAGGAGAGGTCAACAATGAGGGACTGCAGGCAGATCAGAGTAGACAAAAACTTAGGAGAAGCCTTCGGGTTTAGCAAGAGGGAGGTTCCTAACCTTTGTTTATAATTCCAGTGAGAGAGGAAACCTTTAACCAAGCAAGATGGTTACCTGAGAAGAGTCACACGTTCCATCAGGCATCCCTTTTCTGGATGCTGTGATCCAGAATCCCTGCCATGCTGAATCACAGTCTGTCAGATCTACTGAAGAACAATCCCTTTCCTTTATTTCATTATTATATGCCTATTCTTTTTTTTTTCCAATTAAATGTTGCAGCTTGTCCTCTCCAGCCTAGAGAGGGCTTGTCACTATTGTTATTTAACAACATAGGTCACAACCAGTAAAACTTTTTTCTATTCTAACACATTTTCTGATGAAAATTAAATATATACCAAGCAATAAATTTAGTTCTCTATTGTCAAACTTAACAGCAAGAAACTCTTTGTTAAACATTGAACTGTTTCATTTCCTCTCAAGATAGCATTTTATTCTTTATATTTCCTTTTCTTTTATTTATTTATTTATTTATTTTGAGAGATAGGATCTTGTTATGTTGCTTAGGCTGCAGTGCAGTGGCACAGTCATTGCTTATTGTAACCTCAAACTACTGGGCTTCAGTGATCCTCTTGCCTTGGTCTCCTGAGTAACTGGGACAACAGGTGTGTGCCATCATGCCCAGTTAATTTTTTAAAAACAATTTTGTAGAGATGAGGTCTCTCTGTGCTGTCCAGGCTGGTTTCAAACTCCTGGTCTCAAGCAATCCTCCTGCCTCAGCCGCCAAAATTGCTAGGATTAAAGGTCTGAGCCACCGTACCTGGAATTATATTTCTCTTTTATGTTATTTTTCTAAAATTTAGATTAAGATTGAGATTAGGTGTCTTACCCTTTATGTTGCTATAAGAGAATACTAAAGAATGGGTCATTTATAAGAAAAAATTTATTTCTTACAGTTCTGGAGGCTGAAGTCCAAGGCCAAGGGGCCACATCTGGTGAGGGCCTTCTTGCTGGTGGGACTCTCTACAAAGTCCTCAGATGGTACAAGGCATCACATGGTGAGGGGGCTCATGAAAGTTGGCTAGACTGGCTTTTATAACAGACTCACTCTCCTGGTAAGTAATTCACTCCCTCCATAACCCATTAATTACTACTCAACAATAAAAAGTAAAAGGCTATTGATACAACATGGATGTCTTAAAAATCATATCTCCGACTACAGGATATGGCGGGGTCCGGGCACTGTGCGGCTGGGCCCCCAGCTCTGGGGCCATGCCACAGAACCGCTTACTGCTGCAGCTTTTGGGGTCACCCGGCCGCCTCTGTTACAGTCTTCCCCCACATCAGAAGGTTCCATTGCCTTCTCTTTCCCCCACAATGCAGTCAGGCACCATAGCCTATTGGGAAAAAAAAGAGGGGGGCAAAATCAACGAAGGTGACCTAATTGCAGAAGTTGAAACTGATAAAGCCACTGTTGGATTTGAGAGCCTGGAGGAGTGTTATATGGGAAAGATACTTGTTGCTGAAGGTACCAGGGATGTTCCCATTGGAGCGATCATCTGTATCACAGTTGGCAAGCCTGAGGATATTGAGGCTTTTAAAAATTATACATTGGATTCCTCGGCAGCACCTACCCTACAGGCGGCCCCAGCACCAACCCCTGTTGCCACTGCTTCACCACCTACACCTTCTGCTCAGGCTCCTGGTAGCTCATATCCCCCTCACATGCAGGTATTACTTCCTGCCCTCTCTCCCACCATGACCATGGGCACAGTTCAGAGATGGGAAAAAAAAGTGGGTGAGAAGCTAAGTGAAGGAGAATTACTGGCAGAGATAGAGACTGGCAAAGCCATTATAGGTTTTGAAGTACAGGAAGAAGGTTATCTGGCAAAAATCCTGGTCCCTGAAGGCACAAGAGATGTCCTTCTAGGAACCCCACTCTGTATCATTGTAGAAAAAGAGGCAGATATATCAGCATTTGCTGACTATAGGCCAACTGAAGTAACAGATTTAAAACCACAAGCACCACCACCTACCCCACCCCCGGTGGCCACTGTTCCTCCAACTCCCCAGCCTTTAGCTCCTACACCTTCAGCACCCTGCCCAGCTACTCCTGCTGGACCAAAGGGAAGGGTGTTTGTTAGTCCTCTTGCAAAGAAGTTGGCAGTAGAGAAAGGGATTGATCTTACACAAGTAAAAGGTACAGGACCAGATGGTAGAATCACCAAGAAGGATATTGACTCTTTTGTGCCTAGTAAAGCTGCTCCTGCTCCAGCAGCTGTTGTGCCTCCCACAGGTCCTGGAATGGCACCAGTTCCTACAGATGTCTTCACAGATATCCCAATTAGCAACATTCATCAGGTTATTGCACAATGATTAATGCAATCAAAGCAAACCATACCTCATTATTACCTTTCTATAGATGTAAATATGGGAGAAGTTTTGTTGGTACAGAAAGAATTTAATAAGATTTTAGAGTTATTAAGGGAGAAGGGAGAAGCAAAATTTCTGTCAATGACTTCATCATAAAAGCTTCAGCTTTGGCATGTCTAAAAGTTCCCGAAGCAAATTCCTCTTGGATGGACACAGTTATGAGACAAAATCACATTGTTGATATCAGCGTTGCAGTCAGTACTCCTATAGGACTCATCACACCTATTGTGTTTAATGCACATATAAAAGGGCTGGAAACCATTACTAATGATGTTGTTTCTTTAGCAACCAAAGCAAGAGAGGGTAAACTACAGCCACACGAATTCCAGGGTGGCACTTTTACAATCTCCAATTTAGGAATGTTTGGAATTAAGAATTTCTCTGCTATTATTAACCTACCTCAAGCATGTATTTTGGCAATTAGTGCTTCAGAGGATAAACTGGTTCCCACAGATAATGAAAAAGGGTTTGATGTGGCTAGCATGATGTCTGTTACACTCAGTTGTGATCACCAGGTGGTGGATGGAGCAGTTAGAGACCAGTGGCTTGCTGAGTTTAGAAAGTACCTTGAAAAACCTATCACCATGTTGTTGTAACTAACTCAATAGAAAGAAAAGAGAGCACCAAAGATTGAGGGGAGAAATCTTCCAGTGCAGGGGTATGAAGTGCAGGGGTATGAAGAAAATACTCTCCCAGGTCACAATGATTCATTCTTATCAAGATATTTATGTATTAAACAGGTGGTTCGTTTTATTTTAACCAGTTATTTTTATTATTGTGTCTGTCCAGATAAGTTATTTATAATGGACATTACTGAATTTTTTAAATGCCAATTACACCCAAATATTGTGCACATTTAATAATCAGACACCAGATTTTTAGCTCTGTACTCCTAATTAAGGGACATGTGGCCTTGCCTAGCCCTCTGGTGATAAGTACTTCCACTAGGAAATGTAGAATAGGTAGAATTGTGGTTCCCTAAAGAAAAGGACATAAAGGTAACCCGGATGGAACCTTGAAGTTCTGAAATTTAATCTCCTAAACTGTTCTCCTTAGATGTGAGAGAAGGAGAAATCAGGAAAATTAATTCTCGTAGGAGAAGGGCTTGAACTGAAGCTTTACTTTAGAATTTAACCCTGGTTTGAAATTTTCCATTATATGATCTTGGTTTATCATCGATGGGAAGGGTAGAAAACTTCAAGGAAAATAAGTGAAATTTTCAAAGTCAACATTTTGTTAGACCTTTTCAGCTGATTGTTTATTTTTCTGTGAATCCCTATACACGGTTGTTTCCCTTCCTCTTGAGATAATCTAAATATAAACCAGCCACTTGATATAAATGAAAAAAATATATATATACATCCGTGAAGACAAAGGTTGATGGCCTTTGTGTGAGTTATATGGGCCCCAGTTTTTCAGTTTCTAATCTTTTATTCTTGGTATGTCATTATTTATTTATTTTTATTTTTACCTTTTCCATTTCCCCTTTCAGGAATATGTCATTATTTATTAGTCTAACAAAATGTAGTGGGAAAGAGGAAGGTGCCTGCTACTTATCAGAAAATAAGTCAGATAGACTACTTGAGAAAGACACTGAAGCCAATAAAGAGAAACACTTAGAATGCCCAGTATGCTAATGACTATACTGTCTTCTACACTATATATAGTACTATATATATATATATAGTATGTGCATATACACACACATACGATATACTATTTTTTCCTTCTAGGTATGAATGATCATAGTTCAAATGAATAAAATGCAGCTAATTCACAAAGTTTTTTTTAATAAAAAAGTACAACTGACCTTAATGAAAACGCATTCCTCAAGTTTTTGAAAACCAATCTCAGTGAAGAAAATCTTTTGAGAATATCAAATACAGCCTCTCAGTAAAGGGCAGAAGCACAAATAGAATACAGTTAGATAACAGCTGAGAGGTTGACCTTGTCATGTGAGTTATTTACAGATAAATATACCTTATTTACTTATTCTTCTAAGTTAAAATTGAAACTGACAAAATTGGGCCTTCTTACTGCCCAGTAGAGCTATGAGAATTTCTTTACTGATTGATGAATACCATGGATATTTAGTCCTTGACTCACCTCCCCTGAGTCAGTACTGTACACAATACAAATTTGCTTAAGAAACCCTTCCACCCTACCATACAAGAACTTACAAAATTCTAGGTGAGGTGAAATATATCTGCAAATGAAATGCAGTATAATGACTCCCAAATATAGAGGTATGTGCAGGAGTTAGAACCAAAATATTAATAAACTAGTGTGGTATGGATGTCCAATGAATCAGATCAGATGCCAGCCCTGAAAAACTGTCCTGCCTGTCCTAAAGCACAAGAGTGGAATATCAGTACTGGTTACATATAATGTGCTGTAGGATTGCATATTTGTATATTTTAGTAATTATTGATTCCACTGAATAATCATGTATAGGTAATGGGCTAATCTATCTTCAGTTTTGAATAAAATAATGTTTCTAACATGAATTCTCTGTAGAAGCTTTTTTTTTTTTTCTTTTGAGATGAAGTCTCTCTCTGTCATCCAGGCTGGAGTGCAGTGGCGCGATCTCGGCTCACTGCAAGCTCTGCCTCCCAGGTTCAAGCCATTCTCCTACCTCAGCCTCCCGAGTAGCTGGGACTACAGGCATCTGCCATCACGCCCGGCTAATTTTTCTTGTATTTTTTAGTAGAGGCGGGGTTTCACCGTGTTAGCCAGGATGGTCTCAATCTCCTGACCTCGTGATCCGCCCGCCTCGGCTTCTCAAAGTGCTGGGATTACTGGCTGAGCCACCGCGCCCGGCCTTTGTGGAAGCTTTTTAAACAGAAGTTTAGATAAGCAGTGGGCTTAGAAAAATCCACATGAAAAGCCTTTAATAAATGAATGAATTCACCATCTCCCTTTCCCTTCAGTATGTGATTCCAGTGTCCAGGTCCTCACCCATGAATGGGAAATGAAGGTATGTGTTAAGTATTAAAATATAACAGGAGGAGGATCCTAGGGGTACTGCCTTAAACTGGGCCAAACTGCTTCTTTTGTTCTTCTGCCCACAAATGTTTTCCTTCATACTATAAGAAATGCTCCATTTTCTTAAGTACCTAAAACATTCAAAGATTCATTTGTGTTAACAAGCATTGTCTTAAAAAACAAAACCAGAAAATCATAGTGCTGTGTTTCCCTAAGTGTGGTTGAAGGACCACCTAAATGAGATTGCCTGTGGGGGAGGCCCTGGAAATATCTTTCACCAAGTACCTCAGGAAAGCCTAATGTACATTCAAGCTTCAGAATTAATGATGAAATTACTTTCTTTCCATTATGTAGCCAACATGTGTTGCAGTTTAATAAACTGACTTTTTGTTTGTTTGTTTGAGGAGAGTTAGGCAGTTGTGTACTTGGGACATTTTTGGTGGATTTAAGGCCTTGATGGATTTAGGACAGAATGAGATCCCTGGGTGTAAGGGATCTTACACCCTTCTGTTCCTTCCTTCTGTTGCGCCGATCATCTCTCCATTTCTCAAAACTAGAACGCCAGCTAAAACGTACTCAGACGGTGGGCTAAGTCAGTGTCTGTGGCTTATCTAGAAAACTACCTATTATGCTTTTGTTTCAGTGAAATACTTACTGTGAATTTCCAGCTGACTGAAATGCAAATATGCTTTAGAACCCTAGCTGGTTTAGGTTGAGTGCAGGTGCTAAAATAAGGACTTTATCTTGCGTGCCTGCTTTGCATTTGTGGCCAGTGGAACTTCACTTGAGGCTATGGTTTCTCTATTTTCCTACTTTTTTCTGGTTTCCTGTGAAATCAAAGCTTTCGCCTTAGGCATATCCATAAACACTCGTGCAATTTCAGCTTCTCCTCTTCCACCAACTTTTCTTGGCCTTACAAATGTATTCAAGATGTTTTCGTCCTTGAAATAAGTCTGTCCTCCTCTCTACTACCTTCTTTCTTCCTCCTGTAAATAAGTATCTTGAGTAACTGGATCATAGAAAGGGAGTGATCCCAGAAGTCGGTTGAGCTGAGTGTTGGATCCAACTCTTTCTTGAAAAATCCTTCAGAACTTCAGTCATCACAGCTAGACAAACTCTAGAAGTCCCTCCAGTTCAAACCTTCCTCTGGGATGAGTTTATATTTATCAAGACAAGCTACTTTCAATGCCTCCTCACTCCTTGGAGCCTAGGTTTGATTTCTGCCACCCAACTGTGTATTATACTGTAGAAGTTTATAAATTATTAGCTAGTTTCATAATTCAGTAGGTTTTTTCTTCATATTCACTCAACACTGAAGAACTAGTGTTCTTCTTTAGATTCTTTGACACTACCAATACCAGTTGTCATCCTTAACATTTTCTTTTTTCAATTTTTAAACATTTTAAAATAGAGTTGTCAGACATACACAGAAGTAGAGATTAACACCCATGTACTATCATCAATCATTCTCAAAAATTGTCAACATTTCACCAGTCTCTTAATACTATTCTTTAAAGAAAAAAATCATTCTGTTCTCATAACATTTCCATCACCCTCCAGAATTCTCTTGTGCTGTGCTTTGTAGTGAACCCCCCTCCATCCTCCAACCCCAGGCAACCTCTGACACATTCTCTATCTTTATAGTTTCGCTTTCTCCAGAATTTCATAAATGAATTTTATAGTATGTATTCTTTGGAGTCTGGCTTATTTCACTTAACAGAAATACAGTTCAGATTCATCCATGTTGTATCAGTAGCCTTTTTCTTTTTATTGCTGCATAGTAATTCATTGAATGGATATACCACTGTTTATCCATTTATTAGTCAAAGAAAATTTCAGTTGTTTATTATTTTGGGTGACTATGAATAAAGTCACTGTAAACATTTATATACAAGTTTTGGAATGAATATAAGTCTTTCTCTTGGGTTAATATTAAGGGTAAAATTGCTGGGTCATGTGCTAAGCATATGGGATTTTAATAAGAATTGTGTTGATCAATTTAGGAGAATTGATAACAATATTAAGTTTTCCAAACCATGAACATGGTATCACTTACCATTTATTTAGGTTTTCTTTGATTTCTTTAATTTGATTTTTCTGCATAGATGCATAAGAATTTTTTTCGTATTCTTTGAGTTCATCAATTTAATCAGGATTTGTCTTGCTATTGATTGTTATGCATTGGATTTTCTTACAATTTTGTTTTCTCAGTCTGTCTATAAAGTCAGTAGGAAATTATTTTTTGTTATGTATTTGAATATGTTACTTTTTCTTTTGTTGAATCCTGTACTTTAGAAAGACCAATTACCCTTGTTTAGGATCATCTTTGCCCCCCCTTTTTTTTTTTTTTTACATATATATTGCTTTAACCTTTATCATTTTCATTTGAACGCTTCAGTTTTTCTCCTATACCTAGAAATCACTGCTTGGCTCTGAATACTCTGTTTCTGGCTGTTTCTGATTTATTTTTTAGTGTGCTAATGATGCTTCGGTCCTCAATTTGTTTCATTGGTTCTACAGTCTCCCATTCCATTTTATTCTTTTATCATTTTATGAATACATGTTTTTAACTCAAAACACTTCTGGAGAATTTCCTTTTGTTCCTTTAGTTACCTTTTGTTGTTCTTGGTTCTTTTTTGTCTTCTGGGTCCTTTTTGCTTTGCTTTCTTTCCCCTTACAGTTTATTTATAAAGTTTTCCAGTGATTTTTTTTTTTCATCAAATGAATATTAGGGCACCTGTAGTCAGACTTGCTCTGATACAATTTGGGTGCTTTGCTGTCTCTTTCCCTCAGTATTTTTGAGCCAGTTTGTTTTTTCTCACTGAGCAATAGTTTGAGGGCTGATAATTTCAGTTCATAGTCATTTTTTCCTGTAGCCTGAGGACATGAAAAGTGAAAGAAAGAATTCAGGAACCTGGGTTGTATTTTCACTTTTAAGTAGTTTTCAATATTCATACCAAGATTCATTCCACCTCATAGGTTGTATCCCATTCCCTTTAAGGCATTTTTATCTGTTCACTAGTATATGGAGTTTCCATAATCAGAATCAATCCTGTTGTTCCGTACACCACCTGGAGAAAAAAAAATTAGGATTGTTAGTCCATTTGCTTCTCCTCCGATGTGGGGTTGCTTGTGAGGATTCTCAGGCTCTTTTGCATCCCCAGCACAGCTGGAGGAAGAGGCCGTGTTGGGTTAGGATCCCTGCCATGTTGTGGACGCTACTGTGCTCCCAACCCTTTCCTGGGCCACAGTGTTTTGCAATTTAGAACATTTGTGTGTAGCCCTTCCTTATTTGGTTGCCTCTCTGAAATTTTGTGGGCAGTTTTTCTTTTGACCATTTATTTTTCTTTTTTCTGTATTTGCAGCTGCTACCAATACCAAAGTAGAAGCTCCCTTCTGCAGCTCTCTGACTTGCTTCTTTATGTTTGTCCCTGGATTCTCTTTCTATTCCCCAACATGGGTGTTCCCTGAGGGGCTGCCTTCCTGTGAACATAAAGATGGCAGTTCATAAGCCAAGGAAAGAGACCACAAACAGTTCCTTCAGCCCTCAGAAGGAACCGACCCTACCAACACTTTGATTTTAGACTTCTAGCATCCAGAACTGTGAGACAATAAATTTCTGTTACTTTTTTTTTTTTTTTTCATCATTTCTTCTTTTTTTGCAGTATTTGAAGCTCCTACCAGGCAGCTTCCTTCTGCACCTTTCTGGCTGTTGCTTCTTTAAATTTGTCTCAGCTGCTCTTCCTGATTCCTAAACACTGGTGTCCCCTAAGTGTTACCCTTTGCCATGTCTCCTCCTATATTGTTTCTCACAGAGATTTAGTCTGCTCCCACAATGATTGCTTCTGTTTATAGGTAACCCTGGCCTTAATCCTGGGCTCCAATTTTGGATTTTTCTTCAAGTTGAGTGAACATCTTCACTTTGGTGTATTAGTTTGCTACAACTGCTGTAATAAAGTGACATAAACTAGGTAGTTTAAGCAACAGATGTTTATTACCTCATAGTTCTGAAGATGAGAAATCTGAAATCCAAGTGTTGGTAGGGTTGGTTCTCTCTGAGGGCTGTGAGGAAAGGATCTGTTCAGGTCTCTCCCCTTGGCTTGTAGGTGGGTGTTCTTCCTGTGTGCATGTCTATGTCTGAATTTCCCCTTTTTATAAAGACCCCAGTCATAGTGGATTAGGGACCATGTAATGACCTCATTATAATTTGATGACTTCTGGAAAGACTCTTTCTCCAGATAAGGTCATATCCTGAAGAACTGGAGGTTAGGACTTTAACATGGAAATGTTGGGAAGACACAATTCAATCCATAACACTTGGATATTTCCTCATACCACACATATTTCTTGCTACATGCCAGGCGTTGGTCTAGGCCCTGGGAACACAGAGGTGATGAGGCTCAGTCTCTTTCCTCTTCGTGAGTAGAAAACATAAGAATAGATTTGCAATACTGTATACAGGAAGTGCTCTGATAGATGAGAGATTCTTTTGAGGATACCTCAGTGGCACACCTGGCCCTGACTGGCTGAATCAAGAATGACATCTCAGAGGAAGTGATGCTTATGCTGGATCCTTCCCAGTAGGATGCAATACTGGCTTATGCTGGATCCTTCCCAATAGGATGCAATACTGTGTAATTGCTCTCCCTGCTTTTAAACCACACCCTTAGTTACCCAGCCCTGGATTCCACCACCCAGTCAATCTTTCCAAAGCACCACTTTGATTAAGACATTTCTCAGTTGAGAAACCTGTAATGACTCCTCATGGTCAACAGAACTAACTCTAAAGAAATTATTTAGCCTGGCTGACCTTTGGTTCCTCCAGAATCAGGTGCCACTGCTGTAATCTACCTTTCCTGTCTTGATCTTCCTGTTGTTTCCATCGTTAGCCCTGTATGTTGCCAAGTGTAGCAACAAACATTTTGGAAACACATCTGCAACCTTTCATAATCTCATGAAGCCAGGATTTTTGTTTTGTTTCCTACTGTATCATTGTCACCTAAAAAAGTGTTTGGCCTATAACATATACTTCAGAATATTGGTTGAATAAGCAAATGAATTTTCTCTACTTGCAATGCAGGCCTCTCCTTTCTCTCAGCTGTGCACATTTTTGCCCTATTGAAATTTTATTCTCAAGGCTCAGCTCATGTGTCCTTTCCTCCATTATGCCTTTCTTCTAGGTCACGTGTGGATACAGATGTGACTCTTCATTCCTAAAGATTTTTGCAGTCAGTGTGAACTGTTTGCATGCCCCTGCATTCTGCTTTGCATTGTAGAAATCTGAGTAGGTACCTTTTCCCTGCCAGATTCAGTTGTTTGAATTTAGGAATCATATTTTAAAAATAATATTGTGTCTTGCTTAGCACTTCTTGCACAATAATAGATGCTCAAAAGTTACTTTATGTTTGAAGAGAAAATGAATGAGAGGAGTATTTTGTATTTGTTTCCAAAAAAGTGGGGAAGAAGGCCTAAGAAATGGAGCATTTGGTCTGTCCCTCTTGCCTTCCCTTATTTTTCTGAGTTTACAACATTTTTAAATTCATTCAGCAGATATTTATTAAGCACCTGTTCTATTCAAGACTAGGACTATTCAAGTCCTAGCACTTAAATTACAAACAAGAATTAAACTGCCTTTGGGGTACTTATCACTTCTTCTGATAGACGTCCCAGTTGGTCCCAGTGGTCACTATCATCTGTACAGTTTTTAGGATGCTTTTCTTTACTCACATTTATTCATCCCAGAGTCTAGACTCTTTGCACATGTTAAGGCTGCCTGAGAGTAGGGCCCTTGTCTTTATCCTCCCATTCCACACTGCCTAGCACTGAGCTTATACTTGATGGTCACTTCAGTGGGTCCTTTATTTCCCCTAAAGATTCTCTGACTCTTTTCTAAGTTTGCCCTGTCTCTCCAATTATAGAATGCTGAGTTAGGACCAGAGACTTCGGAAGGATACTGATTGCTCTGCTTAGATTGAGAGGCCGTCTATTATCAATAAGAGTAAAAATAAGCGCAATAAGTAGCACAATGTTTAGCACTCGTGCTAAGGTTTTTACATGAATTGTATTTGCTAGTGGTTCCTGTTGCTCTATCACTGGCTTCTAGGACTCCTTCATTTCTTACAAGTTATCATGTAAACTAGTTGAGGTTGGTGAGTAAACATCTAGTTTGTTTGCCTCTGCTCAAACTCAAGAGTCATGATTATACTGAAGAGCTTGTGCCAAACAGAAATGCAATCTGAATTACTTTGGTGGGTCATGCACATATGTTATCCTTTCTAGAGGCATTTAATTCTTAATAAATCCCTTTATGAAGGGAAAATGAGGAAGTGAAAATTGAGATGAAATAACGGAGTAGTAGGGAGTGGAAAGGATGGTAAAAATACTTGTTTGAGGTTCTGTTTGACATGGAAATGACTACTTTTAAACCTGATTGAAAGACAGGCCTGAGTTAATTCATATAGAAAATGTGGTAATATGTTCTATTATTGGGGGATGGGAAACATCTATTTTATTTAAATATGTTGTATACCTGTCAGAACAACATGAGTTCATGGAAGTGATAAAACAACAATTACAAGTAGTAGCCCAACCCTAAGCTCTCTCTGTTTATAGGTTTATAGTGTGTTATCTGTATCAAAGAGACAATGGCACAAGATACTTCTAAATAGCAGATATAAAATTCACTAACAAGTCTTATATGGTGTTGCAAAGTATGTTTATCAGGCATACTTAACATATTAACTTATTGATCATGCTTTGTTTAAACAAAAATCAAGATTCGTTTAGCCTAAGCACCTATCAGAGGAAAGGTAGAGATCACTTGGATAGGCTTAGGCTGTAAGCTTCAGTTTATATTTGAAAAGACACTGCAGGGTAATCTCTGTGTCACGGCTACAGGCAGCATTGTCTCTCAGCCTTCCTTCTTCCATGTGAGCTAACCACTCTTCTTCCTTATTCTGGGATTCTCCTTTCTCCCTGAGGTCATGTGCTTCCGCTTGTGACTTGCGCGGTGGGATGGGACGGTAAAATATAATGTAGATTAACAAAGAAATCACTGCAATCCCAGTGTTTTGTTTTGTTTTTGTTTTTGTTTTTGTTTTTGTTTCAGTGCTTGGTTTAAATGTTGGCATGTGATGCAATTCTGGGAAGGGACATGTAAGGGCCTCTGGAGGAGCATTGAGAAGGATTTTGAAGCTCCTAAAAAGAGACACAGGGAAAATTCTCTTTCACTGCTCTAAATAAAGGTGTATGAGAATGTGCTATTTGGAATGGTTGCTACTATCTTTTTCCGTAAAAACGACAAAAGAGAATTTTGCCAACTCAGGAGAACTCGCCTATCTTTGGACTTCTTATACTATGAGAAAACATGTCCTTTTACTGGTTAAGCCATTTTGAGTTTTCTGTTACTTGCAGATGAAAGCATCTTCCCTGATTGTGTAACATTGCCATTTGAAAAATAGAAAGTTAGATGACTAGTATCTTTAACGTTTCTCCATCAGTTTTGTTTGCCTAAATTACAAGGCTTGTGGTCTAATTTTCTATAATTTACTAAGATACAAGATATAGTAGGTAGTGATTTTCTCTTTCGCAGATACTTAAGAACTTTAAGCAGTCGTCCCTGATATAAAATGTTAGTTTACATCCTGGATATATGTGCTGATTCAAACATCTGTCCCCATATTTCACATCTCTCATGAGTTCGTTTGAAACCCCAGATTAATCTTTTCCAGCATTGATTGCACCTCCTATTCCTGCCTTTCTTGACCCAGAAGGCTTATCATTCCTGAGTGACCTTTTTTTTTTTTTTTTTTCCCAAGCCAAACTGTATCCAGCTTTATTAAAGATACTTTCCATAAACAATCATGGTATTTCAGGCAGGACATGGGCAGACAGTTGTTAACAGTATACAACAACTTTCAAACTCCCTTCTTCAATGGACTACCAAAAATCAGAAAGCCACTATAAAACCCAATGAAGTCTTCATCTGATGGTCTGAACAGGGAAAGTTTAGAGTGAGGGTTGACATTTCACATTTAGCATGTTGTTTAACAACTTTTCACAAGCCGACCGTGACTTTCAGGAAGTGAAATGAAAATGGCAGAATTTATCTGAAGATCCACAATCTAGAAATGAAACCACTGCTGTTTTGACAGGTGCCATCTCAGTGGCATCACTGGAAAGTCCAGATTGCCTGACACACTGGTAACCAATGACTAGGGGTCAGGTCCCAACAGATGTCTGGGCTTAAGGGAGTTAAGTCTGTGCTGAAAGGTAGAAAGGGAGAAGAGGACATAAAAACAAACTTCTTTTTCCATACCACAAGGCTTTTGTGCCAAGGTGGTCATGTGTGTCAAAGTCAGGGAATCCCTTCTCCTGGGAACCAAGAGGAAGTCTCTCAAAACTGGAAGGGAATGGTGTTTTCCCCACATCAATCCAGCTTTGAGACATTCTGTTAGTGACATATGCCCCTTCCCCCAAAAACAACAACGAAGTGTTCTGTGTGCTAACAACATAGCTTTAAAAAAAAAAAAAAGTAAAACAAAATTCTGCGTTTTTATAAAACCTGATAAAAAATAGTATTTCAAACTGTACAGTCACCAGAAGTACACAGTTACCAAAAATGCACACACTTCACTTGGCATCTCCAGCACCTTCAGCTTTCTGTGCCTGGTCTGTTTTGGCATCTCCATTTTCTGCAGGGTTAGTCCCCTCCTTGCCAGCATCAGCTTTTCCCTTTTTCCCTTTGAGTACCTTCTCTCCCTTCTTTGCAGGGGCCTTTTTAGGCTCGGGCTCTGACTTTGGAGGAGCAGGTTTAGCAGACAACCTCGCGGATCTTCTCTGTGGTTCGTCCTTCACCTTGGCTTTATCTCCTTTAGCATCCCCTTCAGCCTTTCTCTTGGGCGTGGTGGCGACGGCGGCGGGAGGTAGGAGCTGGACGCGAGATGCAGCGCGCGCGGGCTTTGGTTGGTCCGGGGGTCGTTCTGGCTTCTTCACACTGCTCCGACCTTCTTTAACTAAATCCTTTGTCGCGTATTTTATGCCTGTTGCTCATGTTGTCATGGGTGTCGTCATGTCTGAGAATGATTTATGAAGCTTTAAGAAAAGATTCTCAAACCTGGCCCATCAGAATTTTCCCAAACATTAACTGAATCCAAATCTCTCTCTGGGTGATTCTGGTTTTCAACCATGTTTAAAAACCACTGACATAAGGGATATAAAAGAAAAATTGTACTGACCCAATCCCATACCTAAAGTAAATGGTTTTAAATCTCACTTGACAAACTCACAAGTCTGTATTAGAGTCCTCCGGAGGGACAGAACCAATAGAATATATGTATATATATAAAAGAGAGTTTATTAGGGAGAATTGGCTCACAGGGCAAAGTCTCACAATAGGCCATCTGCAAGCTGGAGAAAGAGAGAGAAGCTAGTAGTGTGACTCGTTTGAAGTTCAAAAGCCTCAAAACCAGGAAAGCCGACAGTGCAGCCCTTAGTCTGAGGTGAAAGACCTGACAGCCCCTGAGAGGCCGCTGGTACAAGTTCCCAAAGTCCAAAGGCCAAAGAGCCTGGAATCTGACATTCAACCGCAGGAGGAAATGGAGCAAGCGTCCTGCAAGGGAAAAAGAGTGAACAGACTCAGCAAGCTGCTTATCCTTCCTTCTGCCTGCTTTGTTCTAGTTTCTTCATTTTTTTTTTCTTTTTCTTTTTTTTTTTTTTTTTTTTTAAACGGGTTTTTGCTCTGTCACCTAGGCTAGAGTGCAGTGGCACGATCATGACTCACTGCAGCCTTGACCTCCCATGCTCAAGCCATCCTCCTGCCTAAGCCTCCTGTGTAGCTGAAACCACAGGTGTGTGCCACCATGCCTGGCTAATTTTTAAATTTTTTTTGTAGAGATGGGGGCTTACTTTGTTGCCCATGCTGGTCTTCAACTCCTAGGCTCAAGTGATCCCCTTGCCTTGGCCTCCCAAGTGCTGGGATTATGGATGTGAGCCACCACACCCAGTACTCTTTAGAGTTTTCTAGTTGTAAGACCCTATTGTCTACAAGGAGACACATTAACTTCTTCCTTTCTGATTTGGATGCCTTTTTATTTCTTTTTTGCATAATTGCTGTGGCTAGATCCTCCAATACAGTCTGCCTTTCGTATCTGTGGGGGATTGGTTACAGGACCCTATACCAAAATCTGAGATTGCTGTAGTCCAGGCCAGGCACAGTGGCTCATGCCTATAATCTGAGCACTTCGGGAGGTCAAGGTGGGAGGATCACCTGAGCCCAGGAGTTTGAGACCAGCCCGGGCAACACAGTAAGACACCCATCTCTACAAAAAATAAAAAATTAGCCAGGCATTTTGGCATATGCCTGTAGTCCCAGCTACTCGGGAGGCTATAGTGGGAGAATTGCCTTAGCCCAGGAGATCAAGGCTGCAGTGAGTTGTGATCATGCCACTGCATTCTAGCCTTGGTGACAAAACGAGACCCTGTCTCCAAATAAATAAGTAAAACATTTTTAAAAAGTAGAATGCTTAATGGTATATAGTACAGTTGACCTTCCATAACTGAGGATTCCACATCCACCAACAGTGGATTGAAAATATGTATAATTGGCCCTCTGATTCCATGGATGCGGAACCTATGAATATGGAGGGAAGACTACTATGTTGAATAGAAGTGAGGGCGCAACAAAGAGGTCATTCAAACACACAGTGAGATGGTTGCCACCCACAAGCCGAGAGAAGAGACCTCAGAGTGAGACCTTATTTTGCTGGCACCTTGATCATGAACTTCCAGCCTCTAGAACTGTGAGAAATAAATTTCTGTTTTTTAAAACAAAAAACAAAAAAAGTGGTGAGAGTGGGCGTCCTTGTCTTGATCTTAGAGGAAAAGCTTTCAACTCTTCACTGCTGAGTATTATGTTAGCTTTTTGTATATGGCCTTTATTGTTTTGAGGTTTCTTCTAAACCAAATTCATTGAGTTTTTATTATAAAAGGATGCTGAATTTTGTCAAATGCTCTTTATGCATCCATTGGAATGATTATGTGGTCTTTGTCTTCCATGTTATTAATGTGGTGTATCGCATTTATTGATCTGCATGTGTTGAACCATCCTTGTATCCTAGGGATAAATCCCACTTGATTATAGTGAATGATCTTTTTATGTGCTATTGAATTTCATTTGCTGGTATTTTCTTGAGGATTTTTGCCTGTGTGTTCATCAAGGGTATTGGCCTGAAGTTTTCTTTTCTTGTAGTGTCCTTGTCTGACTTTGGTATCTGGGTAATGCTGACCTTATGAAGTGAGTTCTGAAGTATTCCCTCCTCTTCAGTATTCCCTCCTCTTCAGTTTTTTTTGGAAGAGTTTGAGAAGAATCACCATTAGTTATTCTTTAAATGTTTGGTAGAATTTAACAGTGAAGTTATCAGGTCCTGGACTTTTATTTTATGGGAGGTTTTTGATTACTGACTTGATCTCCTTACCCACTATTGGTCTGTTTAGATTTTCTCCTGCTTCATGATTCAATCCTGGAAGGTTATATGTTTCCAGGAGTGTATCCATTTATTCTGGAATATGTTGGTGTATCATTTTTCATAGCAGTTCTTATGATCCTTTGTATTTCTGTGGTATCAGTTACAATGTCTCTTTTTTCATTTCCAATTTTATGTGTTAATAATCTTTTTTTCCTTTGTCCAGCTAAAGGTTTGTCAATTTTGTTGAGCTTTTTAGATAACCAGCTGTTAGTTTTGTTATCTTTTTATTGTTTTTCTAGTCTTTATTTCATTTAGTTCGACTCTATATTGTTTTCTTACTTCTGCTGACTTTGTTTTTCTTTTTCTAGTTACTTGAAGTGTAATGTTAATTATTTATTTGAAGTTTTTTTTTCTTTTCTATTATAGGCATTTAAACTTCCCTCTTAGAACTGCTTTTGTGGCATCCCATAAGTTTTGGTAAGTTGTGTTTTCATTTTCATTTGTCTCAATATTTTAAAATTTCCATTTTGATTTCTTTTTTGACCATGAGTTGTTCAGGTGCATGTTGCTTACTTTCCATGTATTTGTGAATTTTCCACTTTTCCTCCTGTTACTGATTTGTAGTTTCACACCATTGTGATAAGAAAAGATGCTTGATATGATTTCAGTCTTCTTAAATTTGGTAACACTTGTTTTGTGGCTCAGTATATCATCTGTCATGGAGAATGTTCTGTGTACACTTAAGGAGAATGTGTATTTTGCTGCTGTTGGATAGAATGTTCAGCACATGTCTGTTAGGTTCATTTAGTCTAATGCGTACTTCAAGTTCAGTGTTTCCTTATTTATTTTATGTCTTCATGATTTATGCAATGTTGAAAGTAGGACATTAAAGTCCCCTACTATTGTTGTATTGTAGTCTCTCTCTCCTTTCAGATCTATTAATCTTTGCATTATTTTTGGTGCTACTATGTTGGATACATATATATTTATAATTGTTATATTCTCTTGATGAATTGACCCCTTTATCACCATATAATGATCTTACCTTTTGTGACAGTTTTTGACTTAAAGTCTATTTGGTCTGATATAAGAAAATAATTATTTTTTTACAGCTTTATTTTTATTTCAAACTTTTATTCCTTGGGGTGGTAGAAAACTATTTTAGTCAGCTTTAATCTCTGAGCACCTCCCCTCCGACCTCAGCAAGTTAAAAAAGCTTATGTAGTATCAAGGTAATTGGGAGGAGGAACCCTTTAATCCTCCATGTTCTCTGTCTACAATGCCATCCTTTGAGATATTCAGGGTCCCATCAGGTCTTTGGCCACTTATACTTGCAGATCCGAAGAGATATACGTTGTTTCTACTTTTATGACTCCTTCATTTTCTATGGCTCTTATGCAATACTTCCATAAACCTAGAAAATCTGAAAGTTTTCTCAGTTAATTTAGAAACTTTTTTTGCCAAGGTTGAGGACACACACCTCTGACACAGCCTCAGGAGGTCCTGACAACATGTACCCATGGTGGTCAGGGCACAGCTTAGTTTTATACATTTTAGGGAGACATGAGACATCAATCAGTGTATGCAAGAAGTACATTGGTTCGATGTGGAAAGGTGGGACAACTCAAAGCAAAGGCAGGAAGACTCGAAGCAGGGAGGGGGCTTGCAGGTCACAGATAGGTGAGAGACAAAGGATTGCTTGCATTCTTTTGCATCTCTGATTAACCTTTACAAAAGAGGTGATCAGGAACGCATTTATCTCAGAGAGCAGAGGATAACTTTGAAAAGAATTGGGGGCAGATTTGCCCTAAGCAGTTCACAGATGCTTTTTCCCTTTAGTGATTATGGGGGCCCAAGATATTTTCCTTTCACACTTCCATGCCTATTGAGGGTGCTCAGAAGTCTTTATACTGCTCTTGCACCAGACTGGAGCAAAAGGAACTTTCAGTGGCTGCCTAAAGTCCAACTGGCCACCTGTCCCAGCTCTGCCTAGGCAATAGTGCCTGAGCTCTTCTGTTCTTGCCTCCCATTTTCCTACCTGGCACTTCCTCAGGGCTTATGACCTTTCTTTCCGGGATCTGTACTAATTCCTTTCCTCGGACTCTCCTTCCCTCAAGCCTGAAGGATGCTTTTCTGTGCCAGGACGCATGGGCACCTCTTGTCTCTACCCTGTGTTCTGTATAGCTAAGTGCCTAAGCTTTTGTAACCCAAAAGCTATGATAAAACTTTCTTTGCTTTCTGCTGTTCTCTTTTATTTCCAAGGCAGTGTTAATAACCCATTCAATGGAGAGAAATGGCAAAAAGAGAATGGAGGGTGATAAAATACCAGGGAGAAATGTGGGTTAATAAACATGAACCATCAAAACAAAACACAAAATCCTGTGTAGTAGGTGGAATGGACATGTATTTTTGCTTCTGTAATGTGTGTGTGTGTGGTATGTATATATTGTCGCATACAGACATGCGTGTATGTTATAATTAACACATTTGAAAATTTGTCATTTGAAATAATTTTTCACTGAGACTGTTCCACATTCTAGGTTTGCTTCCTTTTAATTGGAGTTATAATAAGTGATAATTCCAGCAGATAAACTATTCTGCTGTAATATATACATCTAATGAGTGTTTCCTCAAAAATATTCACCTCAGCCTACTATATATCTTTTCCACTAATATTGCCATAGCTCCAAACATTTCCCAAGTTTTTTTGGAATTGTTCTTGTTTTATAAACCATGAGCTGAAAATGTCCGTAGTAAATTACTTTTTCATTAAACCCAGCTTTATTCCCCACCCTTTCCCACCTCAAAATATAGCTCCACTTGATCCATTTGCCTCTAAACCAACCTTAACTTTTGATTAGTTATGAACTTGTTGTATAGAAGCAGTAGGCCAAAATTTTTCCTCCTTTAAAACCATTTAAATGAAATTCCAAAAAACTCTGAAGTTGATTTTTAAAGAAAAGCTCAAAAATTGTTTTAATGACTGTATCACTGACACAAATGTATAATTGCCAAAGTGATTACTCAGAAGCAAGCTTTTATTTGAATGAATACATGTTGGTAGCTTCCTTTAGAACAATAGTTCTCAACTTGGGAGGATTTTGCCCCACAGGGGACGTTTGTCAATTTCTGGAAATGTTTTTGATCATCTCAACTGGGTAGGACTTGTTCCTGGCACTTGTGGATGGAAGCCAGGACTACAATAATCAGGACACTTCCCCACAACTAAGAATTATCTCCCCCAAATATCAATACTATCGAGGTTGAGAAATCCTGCTTTAAACAAATAATTACTTTATAGTCATCCCTCATGTTTTAATATACTTCAGAACTTCTAGTCACTTTCCTCCAGCCTCACGGCCTCTTTGAGATTTTGTTTCTGCTAAAGTATAAAGGGTGGGGACGAGACTGGGGAACCAGTTCCAGTGAGAAGACAGATGAGGAAAGGAATACTAGGAAATGTGTAGAGTAATATCTAGGTGGAAGTTTCCCTAGCAACCTTTGAATGCTTACTAAGAAGTTTATGTCTTATCTCAGGGATTTTTCCTGCCTAAGATGGTAGGAGTAGAGACTTGGGGCCTCTGATTTTCCAGGGTCATAACCCAGAGAGAGACTGTCTGTGCAATACTGTTACCGCACATGGGTCTTTGTTCTTAGAGCTCCCAAGGTGGTGGCGAGCGCTCCCGAGATGGCAGCAAGCCTTTTGTTCTCTGACCTGGGGTTCTTGGCCTCAGGGATTCCAGGGAATGGCACCTTGGGCCATGCGGTGAGTGTTATAGCTCTTTTAGAAGCCATGAGTCACGGAAGAGAACCGTAGAAGCTAGGAACTAATGTTCAGCTTGGTTAGGATGAACCTGGGCACTTAGCCGTGCAGGAACAATGGCGAGCCTTTAGCCCCATGGGAAGTGGCAATGGGCGCCTCACTGGATCAGAAACACAGTGACACCCTGCGGGATCCGGAGGGGTGGAAGTCAGCAGCCGGTCCGCGACGTCAGCGTTCAGCAGTGGTAGATGGCGAGCGAAAGCTCAGCTCAAGCTGGAACAAACACAGACCAGAAGAGTGCAGCTGCAAGATTTAATAGAGTGAAAACAGAGCTCCCATACAATGGGAGGGGACCCAAAGGGGTTGCCGCTCCCAGCTCCAGTCCCTGGGTTTATATCCCGATCATTGTTCCTCCTCCTGTGCTCTCAGGTGATATATGATTTGACTGTTTCTTTACCTCCTGCTTTTAGCCTAATTTGTATTTTAGTGAGTCCTCTTTACTACCTGATTGGTCGGGTGTGAGCTGAGTTACAAGCCCCATGTTTAAAGGTGGGTGTGGTCACCTTCCCCAGCTAGGCTTAGGAATTCTTAGTTGGCCCAGGAAATCCAGCTAGTCCTGTCTCTCAATACCTTCCTCTCGGAGAGGCTTTCACCACCTTGTGGGCTGTGATCCCACTGCCCCATTCTGACTCACATCTGGACTTCCCTGTCCCTATCTAATCAGTCACAGTTTGCTGCCTTTGCCTTTTTATTCTCCACACTGCTCTTGCTCAACAGTTTCTGCATTTGAAGGCATGTTCTGATCCGTTCTTTATTAAGCGTTTGTTATTTCTGTGGAATAGCTTGATTTGCCCTGTACCCTTCTCCTCCCTTACTGTGTGCAAGGGTAAAGTTTCAAATACCCCATCCCCCATATGAGGCCAGACATAGCTTTCCATAGGAAGGTTAGCTGTTTGGTTTTTACCCTGTAGTCCGTAGTTCCACCACAGAGTTCCATCCCTATGTTGGTACCTTCCTGCAATTCATTTTAGTGTGTAGTCCCTTGAGCAGCATCTGTGGCTAGCCAGTTTTATTCTTCCAGGTTTGTCCCTGATATCTGATTCCCAAAGCAGAGATCAGTGGGGAGGCCAGATCCTCCCAAACTTCAAAAGAGAAAGAGAAAACCATATGGCTGTGTTCCTGGATTAAAAGCATGCCCTAGAAAGCCATGTGCTGGTTCTACCACTCCTTTCCCTCAGGTACAGTGTCTCCAATGTCTGTTGCAGAATTAGAATAAATCTGTACATTTGAAAGTTCACCTGGAAATGGTTGGCCATGATTTCTGGGCTCTTGTCTGGTACTTCCCACTGCAAGCACCTCTGAGGTCCCATCCTCATCTGAGTGAATTCCAGCAAGATGCTCTCCCAGAGTTCTGCCTTCTGATCACTGTTGAAATAGACCTGAGCAAAAAGGACAAAGTGACGAGGTGCCCAAGCACACTGTGTATGTTCTGGTGTTAGGTCTACATCATGCTAACGTAGGCAGCTTGTGGCTCTGAGTAGTCTCCAGGTAGGTTATCCTATGGGAAGGGATTTCTGCTCTACGAAGAAGGCATATTTCTCACGTTTGAACCTGACATCTTTAATTTGGGTCTAAAGAGGCAAATTAAGTCCCTTCTTTACCAAATGACTGAGTTGTCATGTGATACTATCAAAATCAAGGAGCAGTATTCATG